GGGGAATTCTGGGGGTTGAAGTCCACTCATCTTAAAGTGACCAAGTTTGGACAACACTGCCCTAATGAATATTGCTGTAACATTCCAGCAGCTGAGTACATAGTTTCAGTTCCTTCTTTGCAGGCGGGTGACAAATGGAAGCAGTACAGGCTGAGCAAGAAGCTTCAGCTTAGTTTCATATGCCAGCAGCGTGGAATATCTGTGAAATCCACCACACTTTTCTGGACGTCACACCCAGTTTCAGGAGCTGTAGTAAAGGCTGAAGACGTGTTCCTGGTTGCTAAACCGGATGCTTGAGTGATACACTTTGCTGCCTTTTCCCTCTGAACTAGTTAGAGTAATTGTGGGGCTTGGATTAATGGTAAGTTGGAATGCCAGCAACCAGCTTCGGTGCACACTTGATCAAGTGTAGAGTTAAATAAAGAGGATTATTTTTCTAGCTGTAATAGAAGGTTCTTTCCTCTTCCAAAGGGAACTAATCCTCATTTTTTTTACAGACCTAGCAGTGATAGTACTAAGTGACAGGACACAGGCATTGCACACATGAAGTCCTAGGTTGATTTTTTTTTTTTTGGTGGGGGAGGGGGGTGAATCTAGCTAACCTATTCTAGGTTTTATGTGGCTTGGTGTCAGAATCTGCCAGACTCAGATCCCAATGAAGAAACTCTCAGTTGAACCCTCAGTTTCAAAACAGAAGAATTCTTTATTAAGCAGTAGACTACAGTTCCAAGTCATTGCCAAGACTAAAAGCCCCCGCGTGCCAAAACCCTTTTTCTTTCCCCTTACTGTCACCCCCCTTTTCCCCAGTCCATCCCTTTCTTCTTGATGATCTCAGCTCTTCCTGGGTCTCAGGCTGGTATGACCTTGGTTGTCTCTGGGAACCCGATAACAGTCCACCTGCGCCTTATGGTTCCTTCTCCCTCTCCCCCTTTCCCACAATGGCTGAAACGAAGCAAGCAAGCTGGTTAACTATTTAATTGATTGGGAGGCTTCTGACAGTTGGATGTATTGCACCAGTCCCCTGGGTCTTATATTGTGATGTTATGGTTTGATTGGTAGATTGTATTTTTTTTCTGTTGTAATCCAAGAGGAAATTGTTCACCACCCAGTGTTGGTTGGAACCCTGATATGAAAAATGTTCATCCTGGAGTCATTTTCAGGGCAGAGAAGACTTGGCAAGGTATACAGTCTTGGTAAAAGCAGCATCTGGTGATTACTGTTTCTGTGTCATCAGATCACTGTCAATTCTTAGTGACCATATAGATAGATCATCTCCATGATCTGTCCCTAATTTGTCCATTCAGGTCTTTGAAGGGTGAGCCCATGACCATTGTAGTTGAGTCTGTCCATCTTACTGCTCATTCTGTTTTCTTCCACTTTTCCCAACATTATGGACTTCTCAGGGGAGATGGGTCTTTGCATCCAGTGATAGAGGTGCACAAAACTCATTCAGGGGACAGAATGTTTTGGGATAACATTGATACGATCCAATGAGACAATCTTCCCCAAAGGTCCTGCTGGGGGTATCTGGCATTACTGAGACGATCCAGTCATTCCAAATGTAGCTTGATGGTTTTTTGGAAGTAAATTTACCAGTATAGGAAGTGATTCATGATATTTGAAGCATGGCCAGTCCCCAAAGGGCACATTCTCATCATTTTTTGTGCACTGAATTCAGCACTTTGGGGAGTATCAGTCACTTTGTCATATAGAAGGTGTCAGGGGTCAGAGTTAGGGGGCTGTCCCACCATGAAAACACACCTGTACAGTGTTTAATTTGTATCAAGAAATTCAAACCAGGTTGATATTTATTCAGAAAGAACTGCTTTCAGCAGCAGACAGAAAGGAACAAATCCTTTCTCCCTTTTCCCCAGCCTTTCTGGCAAGTCTGCAAGCTGCCCCAGATGATCCAGAGCCCCCCTGAAGGACATCTGCTGTGGGCTACATGTGAAAAAAGTTAAGCAGGATCCGATCTGGTTAGTCTTTGGACTGGAGACCACCAAGACATTTCTGGCTAGACTTGGAAGTCAGATATGGACCACTATAAGGAAACACAATTCTAAAGCAAGTATTTTGGACATTTTAAAAGTTTAATTCAGATTAATTAATTAATTAATTAATTAAATGTACACGGCCAACTATGTTAAGTACAGGACACTGGGTGGCTGACAATTAAAAACAGTAAACAATAAACCAAATTATAAATAGCATGGATAGTAGCCGAGCAACCAGTCTACAACACTAACAATCATCCTAGTTAACATAACCAGGAAACTGGCTGACTTACATCCTAAGGGCTCCAGGCTTGATGGCAAAGCCAACTTTTTAAGGGCTTGCGAAAAGCCAGCAGGGTCAGGGCGAGTCTGATCTCTGGGGGGATTTAGCATCTTTGGGTAAGCAAGAAAAGACCATTAGATCATTAGAAAGTACAGGGGGAAAAAAAATTGAGGTAAATAGACTGACGATAAGAAAGCCTTTCAAATCAATTGAAACTGCAGTTCTCACTGCTGTTAATTTGAATAGCACTCAAAATCAGGAGCTGAGCTCGAATCAATGGTGCGCTTATTTTGATTTGATGGGTAAGAATAGAGAAGAAGCAAAGCCTACATTTTTTAAAGCAAACCTTCCATTTAAAATGTGATCATCACTGTTTTTAATGGTGATCCTATTGTCTGGAACTGCCTGTATGCATCTCCTGCGTGTATGGCTCCCACCCTGACAATGTTCAAAAAGTTGTTGGAAACCCTGGGGAATGTTATCTATTTATGTTCTGTATTTGTCCTCTTCTGGACGTGCACGATCTACGCTTTTATCATTTTCCTGCATTTCATGCTGTCAGCAGCCCAGAGTCTTATGAAATTGGTTGGCCTCTAGATTGAATAAACAGATAAACACATAAAAATGTGAATGTGAATCACTTAGGAAATCATGGCTATCAATGGTGATGGAAATGTAATAAATAAAACCAATCCATGAAATTAAAATGGTAAAAAAGGATCATCTTATTAACTAGATCCATTACCTTTATCCTATAAATAAACAACACGGCCTGGTGTGTTTCACTGAGTTTCCCTACAGGGAAATTTCTCTCTTGCTTCGCAAATATGCGCCAACTACAGAATGACACATAAGCTGGCGAGTGTTTACATATTAGCTGTTTGCTAATAACAAAGAACAGCTGTGCTTTGGGTGAAGTTTGTGTGCTCCTAAATAGAAGCCGCTCTGAGGTGTGGTTTTACGTCAGACTACTCAGGCTCTGAAGTGAAATAGAGAAGCTGCTGTTCGGAAGAAGGATACTCGGCACACACCCATTCATATTTTCCCTTGCCGGAGGCTGCTCCAGGGGCCTTTAAAACGGCCTGTAAACTGATGGCGCAGCTGCCCGTAGGAAGGAACCACACCTAAGTGTGTTGGAACATTGCTGAAAAGGCTTGGACTGTAGTAGATCCCAGACTGAAGTTGGCAGATTTCCCCGGAAGAGACGCTGAAGGGCAGGCTCATTAAAGGGCAGAAGAAGAACATTCTTTAGCCCCCAACAAGGTAGGCCAGGTCGTCCCTCTCCCCCCCACCCCCAAAGGCCGCCAGGCTGTTGATTTCAGGACAGCATCTCCAGGCAACGACGGCTGCTGTTTGGCCCCGGGTGTGCGCGAATTCACTTTCCAACTCCGGCACGCGAAAGGAGCCAGAAACGCGGCAGGGTCTGGACTCTTCGCCCCTTCTCGTAGCATCCCCGGGGCGCGCGCGTCAGAAGGGCACCCCATTGTGACCTGCTCCGACCTGACCGGGCGGTTGGGGAGGCTGCCCGGGAGCTCCGGTGGCTCTGCGCTAACGGCCCTG